TTCCCATCTGACAAAGACTTTGTGCTGAGCTTTTATCGCCGATGACATGTAGTTGGGTTTCACTTGATAATGCAAAAGGATAAAAATGATTTGTTTATGGAGTTTGTTTATTCATTCTATCTGATTTTCAGAAGCGTCACAATTGCACAGGAAAAGACAAATACAAAGATAAACAAATACTTTTCCTGGCTTTTTCATATTATTATTAAGGCTGGAATTCTACAAAAATATCAAGTCACCCATTACGAAAGGATGATAGTGGAACACGGCCTGTCTTGGTTATGTCTTATAGTCTGTTAATTTCGAATATTCACTTGTTTTTTTTGGCTGAAGGGTGTTTTCTGAGCAATAAGTATTTAATATTATTATATTTTTGCTAGTGATTTTTATACTGCTTTAATTCTTTGAGAACTATAAATACACTTTTGTTGAGCAATAATGGTATATTACCAAAGTATTATTGATAGTTTTTATTCATTTTTTTTCCAGTAATTTTTTACCCATTCTTACAGATTTTTTTTCAATTTTCACAAGGTATTCTTGCAATCTTGAAATACTCTCACCAGCGATAGCCAGTGAGAATTTTTCTTAGTGACTTATTAAATCTGCAGCATTTTAAAATATATCTAAATTTGCAGTCTGGTCCCCCAACAGAGATAATCAGCCCAAAAATAAATTCATGTGTAGGGCTGGACGATATGGCCAAAATTGATATCACGATATATTTCTTAATTTCGGTCGATACGATATAATTCCGATATCGATATGAACACTATTTATCTAAACTAAAATATTTTGTAATATTATAAATGCCTTTATCATCACTTTTGATCAATTTTAAGCATTCTAGCTAAATAAAAATATAAATTTCTGTAATTTCTTTCCCAAAAAAATAATAAAAATTATATTGAATGGAATAGTGTATAATGTTACAAAAGCTTTTTATTTCAGATAAATGCTGATCTTTGGATCTTTCTATTCATCAAAGAATCCTGAAAAAAAAAAAAATTACTCAACTGTTTTAAATATTGATAATCTACGGAAGTTCTAAGCGGCCATGCATTATTATTTTTTTTCCTTCTTGTTTTCTCGTTATAACGACTTATTTTCTCGTTATATCGACATAACGACAGTTGTTTTCTCGTTATAACGACTTAATTTTCTCGTTATATCGACATAACGACAGTTGTTTTCTCGTTATAACGACTTAATTTTCTCGTGATCTCGACAAAGTTTTTTTATTTTTTTTACAATGATTGTTTGATCTACTGTTGTTATAGTAACGAACTCAATCTGATGGACAGATAAACATGCGCTCTTACTGCCTAGGTC